GCTCCCTCTGTCACCATGTTTCCCTCCGATGGAGCCGTCGCGGTTTGCAGCTCCGCCAATAAATCCGGTCGGCCGCATCATTCTTCCTCAGTCGGGCGTTGCGCGGTACGGTGCGGTTCTCGACGAGGTTGTGTTATAGCTAAGTTGCAAGAGCGGCTTGGATGGGAGGGTACCTTAATGACAGTAGATGTTGCAAAGGAGCTGTATGGTTTGTTCGCCGCAGCCCACCTCCTTTTGACGCTACGCTACGCTATGACAGAGAGGGGTAGGCAGGCATTGCAATGAGCACAAAGGAGCGAACGGCGGGTCGGATGGGTGTAGGTGGTCAGGTGGGTGACGAGTGCAGCGGAGGAGAAATCTCCCGCAGGTGTCATTCGTGACATAGTCCAGTCACACGGACGAGCCGCGCATCAAGGACGAACGCCGTACGGGTTATGCTGATGTGGATGGTGGTGCGGGTGTTGGTGACGACCGTAGGAGTCTGCCTCATCGTCCCTCTCCCAGCTATCGGGACGACCGGGCGAGCCGCCGATGCCTCCGTTGCTATGCTGGCCGGTGCTCTTGGCGCTGCCGCCGTGCGACCCATTGTGGGCCAAACACTCGCGCCCGTCGAGGGTGACGGCGCTGATCCACGACGTGGCCGAGATCTGGACGTCGGATCCCTTGTGCACCACGACCTTGTCGGGCTGCTCGTGCCGCGACACCTGCGCCTCGGACGTCCGCATCGCCCGCATCGCCATCGGCATGTCGTCGAGCGTCTTCTCGAACCCAGACCCGGTCACGCCAAACCCGCTCGAGACCGGCCGCGGCGTGACGGGGTGTGAGCCGTGGTTGCTCACTGGCAACGCCTTGACGTACTGCGCCTGGCCTTGCAGCAACATCCGTACCACGACCGGGTTCAACCCGTTTTGCAGCGCAGCGCGAATGACTATCGGAAAAGCAGAGGCACGAGGAGCAAGATGCGGTAGTCTGTCAGCCGCTGTCGTCGTCCGAAAGATGTGCCCACGAAATCGCGCTGCAACTCACAGACGGGCATGATGTAGTCTGGCATCACGAGCATCGCGATGATGAGGATGACGCGCAGCAGCTCAAAGATGGCGTAGAGCGCCACTCCCTGCTCGACGAGGTGGCGGCTGAGCACGCCCCAGCCCAGCTCTGGATCAGAGGCGCGGCGGATGCCAAACGCGTTGCGGATAAAGGTGCCGATGTTGAGGAAAAAGTGCACAACGCCCCCCTCGACCAGGCTGTGCAGCGTCATCAGCAGGATCTGTTGCCGTTGCCCAGAGGTGCCATTCGACCCAAAGGAAAACGAGGTCAGCCTTTGTCTGTCCCTGCATCTCGACCGATCAGCCCTGCGAGCAGGACGACGTACTCACCACGAGATCAAAGACGCAAGCCAACGCGATGTAGACGTGGTCGAGGTTGACAAACTTGGACCCCTTGGTTGGCGCGAGCCACAGGCACCACTTTGTGAAGGGCACTCTGAGCGGCTTGCCAAAGTTGAGGTAGACCTGTGCACGGGCAGCAGGAGGATCGTTTGCGGCGACGTGTCAGTCAGTGGCTGGCGGTCCTCGGTCGGGCGTGGTCGCGGCCGGGCGAGAACTCACGTAGGCGCCGAAGGCAGACAGCCCGATCAGGTATGCCAGGAGGAAGATGCCGTACCGTCTAGATGGGAAGAGCGAGGGAGGTGACGCAAGGGCAGTGACCGTCAACAAGCTGCTCTATCATTCTCAGCGCCGCTTGAGTCGCTCGGGCATCTTCCCAAGTCGCATCTGGAGCCAGGCGAGGGTCGCAGAGGTAGCAACTCACTTGTTCCGACGCGACACGACGTAGCAGCGGCACGCAAACACCGCGCTGAAGGTGGACTGACGTCGCCCAAGATGGACAGGCAGCATGGGATGCGTGGGCGATTCAGCAACGAGTTCGGCAAGGTATCGCTCCTTCTCGCGCAAAGCGGGTCAAGGGCGTGCTCACGTTGCAGATGATCGAGGGGGTCAGCATAGCGTACCTCCATCCCTCGCACTCGCCATGGGTCATGGTGATGTAGAGGACGGGCAGAAGATTGCCGATGAATCCGGAAGCCCTGTTGGCCAGCAGACGGACGGCATTGCGAAAGACATGCATCTGAGCGTCAGCCTCAAAGGTGAGAAGGCTATATGGGCTTCCTCGGCCCTGGACGACTCACCGGCACGCAAAGTAGCACGACCGGGAAAAGATGCGGACGGGGTCGCGCCAATGTGGCCCGGTGAAGGTGGTGATGACAAGGCGGATGTCGAAGACGAGGCTCTTTACGATGTCCCAGCCCACCACGCCGAGGAAGGCGACAAAGAGGAGCAACCTGGGTGGCGAGTAGAGGCGGGGGGAAGGGAGCACCAAGACGTATGTCAGTCGACGACGAGGCGATGCCCGGCCTGCCTGGTCCATGGTCAGCACTCGAAGGGCACTCACGAGATCTGGACTTCGACCGCATTCTCCCAGTTGCGGAGGTACCTGCGTAGTCGCCGGTGAGAAGGGATGTCGTGTCGGAAACGTCAGCAAATGGAGGCAGGCATTCCAAGGCAGGTGGCGGCGCGTAGAGCATCGCCGGTCTCGGCGGGCCTCTGGGACAAGCCTGGAAGTAGGCGAAGCTGGGCGATCGTCCTCTATGGAAGAAGAGTTGACAAGGGTACGCACCAGTAGACGACGCCGTCGGAAATGGCCATGATGGGCGATGGATCGTGCCGGGACGAGTGAGGGTCGGGTATATGGGATGGAGCTTGGAAGCGGGTATATTCGGGTCGCCCTGCCTTGCGTCGCCTCCCGATGCGCCTACGAGCTGACGCCGACGGGACGAGGGTCTGATCTAGTCAAAGCAACGAGATACCTGGTGGTGGGTCGAGGTGTCCTAGGGCTAGAGGAGGGAGGTCGGCGGAGGAGACAGTCGAATCGATCAGGGAGAGGGCGAGGGCGATGTTGGAACGGAGACGCGATCGACAAGGAGAGCGGTGGACGAACGACGGACCTGAGAGGCCGACTCTTGTATCCTGACCGGCAGATACAGTACGGTGGAGAGGAATGAGTGCGAGGTGGTCGTGGGTGGATCGAGTGGTCGTGTGGCCGGGTGGTCTGGTGTTCGAGGCGATGGCGAGGGAAGCGTCGAGAGGGCCTGCCGAGAGCGCCACCGTCACGTCTCGATCAGAGAGGGGGAGAAGGCGGGGGGGAGGTGTGGTCGTTCGGCAGTTGTTACGGCAGGTGAGTGGGAAACAAGGTTGGCGGATCAACGCCGAGGTTGCGGGTTTGCCACCTAGGCTTCCTTGAAGGGCATCGCATGGATGTACCTGCCTCGATACATCCATATGTGAGTAAGTAGGACCGGGCGGAAGGGTGCCGGATGCCGTGCAACTGCCTGGAGCGCCGGTGTCCGGTGGGGAGTGAGCGGCGACCTGTGGAGCCGGTATCGTCGATATGAAAGCCGTGACACGCGGCAGGCAGCAGGGAAGCGCCCTGTGCGTTGCTGCTCATCCAAGCGGTGTCAGGATAGATGGGATGAGATCGCGGAGCAGGCAGCAGCGAAAGCAGATGACCCTGCCCCTCTGCTGCAGGGCATGGTAAGCGCTCCGCCCGCCCAGAGGCCCGTGATGAGGTCGCTAGGGCGAGTGAGGAAGCTCGAGCAGCGGTGGCAGTTGCCAGCCGGGGCCAAGAAAGGGGAGCGCATCGCAGCTAGAGCGTGGGAGAGGCAAGGAAAGGGTTGGTTGCACGGCAACCTCGCCTCTGAGTTTCCAAGGAACCGGAAGCAGCCAAGAAAGCCAGCAGGAGGCCAAGGTACCGGTAGCGAGCAACGCGGGGCTTGCCTGCCTGCAAAGGTCGGCTCGGGCCACCCGTATTTCATCGGCTTTGAGGCTGTCGACCTGGCCGTCTGCCTAAGGGCATCTGGGGTCGGTCCGGCGTGTGCATGGAAGGTGCGATGGAGGGGCGGCGGGAAAGAGGGTTGCAGGTTTGAGCTTGCTTGACGCCCGGGCGGCGAAATGAGCCTTGGAATATGGCTGAGCTGTGGGAAAGGGCTGCTATGGATGTACATACATACAGGCCGAGTAGTTACGTTTACGCTCGCAGCAGGGCGAAGGGGGTGGGCTGGCAGAGGGCCGGTTGTCAAGTTGCGAGGCGCCAAATGTGCGAGGGCTCGACGAGGGGCGCCCAGAGGAGTCGCTCATCTCCGTTTCGGGCTGCCTCGTCCCCGTCGACGTAACTTTCGAGCTCTGAGAGTTAGGGATGGATGGGCAAGCGTTTGCCAATCGGCTCTAGAAGTTTTCATCCTGGCGCCGTGAGGGTGATCTAGGGCTCATTAGCCACGTATCAGCGCACTTGGTACTACGGAAAGGGCGCGGCACGGAGCAGCTCACGTACTACGGATAGAGCGACAGAAGCAGAGGCCGAGGCCCTCCATGATGGGCGAGGTTCGAAGTACATAAGAGTGCACAGCTCCTTCCATGGCCGGGTAGCGCGTGTGTCCGTGTGCAAACTAGCCACGCCGTGACGAGCCTATCGGAAATGGCTTTGGCGGCCGGCCTGGCTGCTTCCGCATATGTATTCACTGGGAGCAACGAGGTGGCGAGTGATGGCGGGCGAGCGCCACCTGAGGGGACGATCGAGGGATGGAGATGGACAGGCGAGTCGCGCACGGCAGCCTTGACGCTCTCGGCTGCGCAGTGTGCACCTGTCTGGGAGGTGGCGGACGACGGCCCTCTGCATCGCCGAACGGCTCGGCGCAGCGTGGCACTCAGCTCGCAGTCGACCACCAAGGCGTATGGAACGTACGCCGCTGTCCGCACCAGAACGACCACCACCACCACCATCGAGCCCAGAGGACATCGTACATATCAACCTCTTACCTGGCGTGCGAATCCTACGATGCGGCCCGAATCGATGCCCCTGTCCTGCCCCTTATCCAGGCCGATCGGATCTTGTCGCCGAGTAGCAAGTCACCTAAATCGACGAGGTAGCAGCGCCACGCCCGGGCCCATTCCCACGATCCTGCCTTTCCGCCACCCAACCGGCGCTTCTCCTGCCCAAATTGGTTGTGCTGATGCAGCGCCTAGCAGGTCATGGTAAGGGCGCCTCCAAGCTGTACACACCCACAGCTGTGACCGAGGCTCTGCACCTTCCGAGCACTCGGCGCGCGGGATGGCCAGCGCCATCTCGCAGCGACGCTCGGCACCTCTCGCCGCTTACCCCAGCGCGAGCATCAGCATGACACCGTTGTGCGCAAGATGCCGCAGACAAAAGCTCAGACGGATCAATCTGGTATGTAGGTGCTATTGTCGGACGGCACCGTGGACGTGGTACGGTATTACGGCAGGCCGGTAGCTTCCTTTTCCCATCAGACCAGAAACGTCCGACAATGGGGGTGACAAGACTGTTTGTAACCCACGATGCTCGATGGGTCCACCGTGGTCATGGCGCTGACGATCCCCTCCCATTCCCATTGTGACCGGACAGCCGTAAGCAAGCCGATGGCTTCTTCGACAGCAGTAATGACGAAGTGGGCTCACGTCTCTCGATGACCGACTGTCCCGGTATATTGCCGCGCTCTAATGCTTGGTCCGGCCGGGCTAGTCCTGCTCTGGTTGAAAGAGCATGGATCCTCCCGAGCCACTCGCGCCACTGTCCCTTGAATCGTGAGCTCGGGCACAGGTATCGAACAAGGGTATCGGATGAGAGCGAAGATATGTAGAGATGGCGATGGAGATGACCGCAGTCGTTCGCCGCAGCGCCGCAGCACCGCACTCCGCCGCGCCGCACATGCATCCGCCGGGCGCACATGCATGCAACCCTGGCAAGCCAAAACTTGGCCGGCCCGATGCTCGTCAAGCTCTATCCTCAATCCTCTAGCTGCTGATGCTGGTTGCGCCTGCCTTGCCCTACAGTGGGGGCCTTGCTCGGCGGTTACACCGGAACCAGACGCGGTGCCGCTCGGCTGGTCCCGCCGTCGACCAAGGAACAAGGGCCTCACCGGCCATCATCATGGTGCCAGATGCTGCTGTTGAAAGCAGTCGCGCCCAGTCCAGGTCGTCTTTCTTTCACTCCCGTATGGCCTGCGCTCACCGGTCAGGGTTGGTCGATCGACGAAGCCAAGCGCTGCAGCAGCACCGCGACATCGCCGTTTTCGATGGTCGTCGCGGGGGGCCGGGCAAGGAACGTCGATACGGCTTCTTCAGCGGCGACGTCTACCGTAGCACGGCCACGTCCTCCCTTCGCCCACCCTCTTCGACAGCTCGGTCCAGACCTTCTTCACACGCGGTCGTCTCTGGACGTGGGGGAAACAGGGGAGGGGGACTGGAGGAGAAGGAGGGAGGTGCGGCAAAGCTCTGTTGCGCCTCGAGCGCCGCAAGCACGCCGACGCTGTTCAGAGGCCTGAGCACATCGCCGCACCTCGCGCCGCCCTACGCCCTGTCATGCCATGATGCAGCCATCCTCACGCTCGTGACCGTGGCCATGTGGTGCGGGCTGCAGAAGGATCGTGGAACGAGGCGCTCGGCGCGGTGCGGTGCGGTGCGGTGCGGTGCGGTGCGGTGCGGTGCGGTGCGGTGCGGTGCGGTGCGGTGCGGTGCGGTGCGGTGCGGTGCGGTGCGGTGCGGTGCGGTGCAGTAGTGGCTGTCAGACGATGTTGTTGACAACCACCATCCATAACTCCCTCCGCTGTTTCTTGCTTGGCATGCGTATGCATGTAGACGCAGAAGAACCTAGTCTCGCCACCGACAGACCACGTCCTTTCCCGATGGAGAAGGGACCGGTCCGGTCCCAATCAAAGGGGTTGGCCGCTGCATCAAAGACGTGTACGTAAGAGCATGTCCGCACGGCACCGTACTCGGCATGGGGAGGCACTGCTGCCCTTCGGCATTCTTGAACGAGAGTGCACGTTTGTTCGACAACGACGAGGCCATCCACAACGTAGGGATGCCCGTGCCGTCCTCGCCGGTAAGATAGAGAGGGGCCCCGAAACTTGATCTTCGTCGAGTCAGTGCCACCTCGATGGTCCCATCCTGAGGCGAAGAGAGCTGTACACTTCGGCCGACTTGGCGGATCGAGGTCGTCAACGTGTCCCTCCCAGCTACGACGGCTTTGACGGGAGGGATGGCAAATGGACCAAATCCCGGACCGGGCATCATGGTCATGGCAGGCCGACGTCGCTTCAAGCCAGCAGTGCGACCAGGTACCGCATCCTTGGTTCGGCGTCCTGGCCGCCCCTTACATCGCCCGTGCTGGTCCTGTGTATGGGCCGGACGACTGCATGGACAGCGCAACTCGGAAGTCGCCCGACCTCTTCGCTCTTGGCTGACCCTTAACTTGTAGGTTTACGCCCGAGATGGTACCTGCCGGTACCGACAGTGCCTGAGCTAGGCTAGGGTCGTCTGCATCGGCACGGCGTCGGCACGTTGGCGAGCACGCCTCTCCAAGTGACCGGTAGACGGCCCTTGCCAAGTAGACTGACCGGTCACCAAGGATGGGCAAGCAAGGGGGTTACAGCAGACCTTGGGTTCGATGGAAGCAACAACGACTCGCCGGACAACCAACCCTCCTTCGACGCCGCCCGTCCCATCCGGTGCCGTCGTTGCTCGTGTTGCAAAGAGTCCGGGTCCCGGTCGCATTCCCACGTCCATCCTTCCTTACTCCCTTCCGATCTCTCGGTGCTGGTGCGAGTCGACGCGCATGCCCTCGCCCTTTCTCACTCTATAGCCTCGGACCGCCACCAACCGACCCGATCCGAGCAGGTCCTCGCATGATCGCGGTGGTGTCCTGTTCCACGGTTTCGTCAAGGGCTTACGTCAGGACGTCCGGTGCCATGCCATCGGACGACGTCCTTCCTTCCTGCTTCCGCATGAGGGGCGGGACGGGCCCGCGACTTCTTTGCGGAGCCCAACGAAGCGGATCATCCGTCATCGGCAAACAGCAGGACGCCTCGACTCGATGCTCGCCAGCACCACAGTGTTGGTCGACGCCTTGCCCGTGTCCCTCTGCGCAGCCTGTCCCTCCAAGCGAAGCGGGGTATCTGGGGCTCTCGTCCGAATACCCGGTCGAGACAATGCATCTATGATTCTCTTCATTGCGGTGGTGCCAGTCTGGTGGGCGACTCATTGTGTCAGGAATCCCTTGGCGAGCGCAATCTCGGCGTTCATGACGGAGCTCGTGGCGGCGCCGATCATGACATTGTTCGAGAGGACGACAAACTGTGGGTTCAGAGGGCAAGCATCAGAGCGCGAGCCAGAAACGCGGCGGGGTGTGGATCAGCTTCGGTCTCTGACTGTGCACGAGACTCGACCGCGGCTGCTCGCTCACCTTGATGTCAAACACGGGGCACTGGCGCACCCTGCCGACATTGACACCGGCGCCGTTCTGCCACTCGCGGTCGAGCTTGGGTTGCGGGCGGTCGGCCTCTTCGTGGAGCGTGATGGCCTGCTGGGGCGCCGAGTGACATCCGAGCTGCTGCGGCACCGTGACAAACTCGCGGAAGCACTGCTTGACCTCCTCGACCGAGGGGGGCGGCTGCCTCTTGAACGAGACCGAGACCGTCTCGAGGTGGCCGTCGATGACGGGGACGCGGTTGCAGTGGGCCGACACCTTGAGCGGCGAGTCGGCGTGGAGGTCAAAAGCCGTCTTGTCGCTGGTCATGCCGCCGAGGATCTTGGCCGTCTCCCACTCGATCTTCTCCTCCTCTCCCGAGATGTAGGGGACGACGTTGTCGAGGATGTCGAGCGACGACACGCCCGGGTAGCCCGCGCCCGAGATGGCCTGCATGGTCTGGACGACGATCTTGTCGAGCGGGCCGAAGCGGTCCTCGAGTGCTTTGAGGGGGACGACGATACCGGTGGTGGAGCAGTTTGCGTTGGTGATGATGAAGCCCGTCTTTGTGCCTACCTGGCTCTTTTGGTGCGGGATGATGTCAAAGTGGTCCGGGTTGACGAGGGGCACGACGAGCGGGCAGAGCGGGTCGGTGCGGTAGTTTTTGGCGTTGGAAAAGACGCGGAGCTCGGCCTTGCGAAAGGCGTCTTCGACGGGGCCGGCGGGGCCCGAGTCGAGGCCGCTGAAGACGACCTGGCACTGGGCAAAGTGTTGGGGCTGGCACTCGTACACGGGCATCTGTGCGACGTTTGCGGGGATGGAGCGGACCTGCTTCCAACGACCGGCGACGGCGGCCGAGTACGACTTGCCGGCGCTCGACGAGGATGCGCCGAGGGCAGCGAGCTCAAACTGCGGGTGGTCGGCCAGCTGGAGGATGAAGCGCTGTCCGACGGTGCCTGGGCGGAGGGGAGCAGAGCAGCCCGGGTGGTGAGGGTGTCAGCTGGGGTCTGTAAAGAGTGACGGCGATGAGCGTGACCACGATCACTCACCGGTGGCGCCGAGGACGCCGACCTTGAGCTTGTTCTGTTGTTGCTGCGACATTGTAGCGATGATGTTGGGATGCACGGGGGCAATGGCGGGAGGGGATGGGTGGTGGGGAGAAGGCTCTCTCAAGAAGAAGTACGTTGCTCCCCCCCCCCCTGACCGACAGCAGCAGGTGGAGCCCCCGCCTCAGTCCCGAGGGCCCGCCGGTCTCGGCCAATGACCGAGTCACGCCCGCCACCGCCTGCCTCCTGTCAGCCACGGCGTAGATCAGCCCATCGGGGCAGGATCATGATCCGACCAATCGGCACTTTTCTCCCGATCTCCGACCCGGGAACCCGGCGTGCAGGCAGGCTGCCAGCGAGCCGCGGCGCATGGGCCCGCCAGCTGGCTGGCCAGAAGCAAGCTCTCGCGCTTTCTCTCTGCTGGCGGGCGCTTCCAGCACGACAGCAGCGCCTGCCAGAGCCAAGGCTGCCCCACACCCCTGCTGGGCTGCCTGCTTGGCTTCTTCCTTCCTCTTCGCCTCCGTCCCCCGCCGCATCCGAACCAGCATCATAGCAGCTCACCTGCTACTACCCTTCACCACCAGCCTCGCGCAACGGCGGTATCGCCTCCTTCTACCGTACCCGCCCAGACGACTCGCCATTGCCCAGGCAAACTGCTTTGCTGGCAGAGCAGCACCTCTCACCCCTTGCCAAACGCCACCGAGTCGCCTTTCCGTCCAGCAAGCTAGCTCGCGCTCATCCTCTTTCTCGCACGGTGATATCTCCCTCCCAACCACTCTGGAAGCAGTCGCTTCTACCACATCCACACCGCTCACCTTCTCTCGCCGAGCAAGCAGAACAGCATGGGAAAGAACGGCCTCTTCGGCCAGCTCAAGGGCATCGATGCCTTCTCCAAGGTGAGTCCGCCTCATGAACCCTCTCGATTCCTTGCCGACAGCACCGTGGCTCAACCTCGCACCACCGACGACTCACCCCCTCCTGGCTCCTCCCTTCTCCGCTCCCGCAGACGATGGACGACGTCCGGGTGCGGACAAACGTCGGAGCGCTCATCACCCTCGTTTCGGCCTGCCTCATCGCCCTCTTGACCATCGGCGAATTCATCGACTACCGCACCGTGCACCTCAAGCCATCGCTCGAGGTCGATCGCTCCCGCGGTGAGAAGCTCACCGTCAACATGAACGTCACCTTTCCGCGCGTCCCCTGCTACCTCGTCTCGCTCGACGTCATGGACATCTCGGGCGAGCACCAGAACGACATCACCCACGACCTCGAGCGCATCCGCATCAGTCCAGACGGCCAGCCCGTCGAGTTTGGCTCCAAAAAGGGCCTGACGGGCGATGCGGCGAGGATCGCAAAGACGCGCGGCAAGGACTACTGCGGCTCGTGCTACGGCGGCGTCGCCCCCGCCAGCGGCTGCTGCAACTCGTGCGACGAGGTGCGCGAGGCCTACGTCCGCCGCGGCTGGTCCTTTAACGACCCGGACCACGTCGACCAGTGCGTCGAGGAGCACTGGACCGACAAGATCAAGGAGCAGAACAAGGAAGGGTGCCGCCTGTCGGGCAAGTTGCACGTCAACAAGGTCGTCGGCAGCTTCCACCTCTCGCCCGGCCGCGCGTTCCAGGCCAACAACATGCACATCCACGACCTGGTCCCCTACCTCTCGGGCACGGGCGCCGAGCACCACGACTTTGGCCACTTTATCCACGAGTTCAGCTTCGCCAGCGAAAACAAGGCCCAGGGCGGCAGCGGTTGGGGCCGGAGCAGCGGCCAGACGGTGACCGACGCCGAGATCAAGAAGCGGCTGGGCGTCCAGGACCCGCTCAACGGCGTGCGGGCGCACACGGAAAAGAGCGCCTTTATGTTCCAGTATTTCCTCAAGGTGGTGGCCACCGAATTCCGGTCGCTGAGCCGCGAGGTGCTCAAGACTCACCAGTACTCGGTCACGACCTACGAGCGGGACCTGAGCCCGGGCGCCGCGGCGCGGGCGGCGGCGGGCCTGGCAAAGGAGGGGAGCGGTGCGCACGTGTCGCACGGCTTTGCGGGCGTTCCGGGCGTGTTTTTCAACTACGAGATTTCGCCGCTCAAGACGATCCACACCGAGACTAGGCAGAGCCTGGCGCACTTTCTCACGTCGACGTGCGCCATCGTGGGCGGCATCCTGACGGTGGCGGGGCTGGTGGACAGCGCCATCTACAGCTACCGGAGGCGGTTGGGAGCGACGAGCGCCGAGAGCGGCGACCTGCGCGCGCGCGAGGGGCTCGGGTACACGAGCAAGACGGGCAAGTTTCTCTGAGCGCAGCGCGGGCGGTGGAACGAGGGCCGGGCCGTGGTGGCGACTGTAGATAACGAGACTGAGGGTGCACCGAAGCGAATCCGAACGGCGGTGGTACCACACAGAGACAGCCTAAGTCTGTATCGCCTGCCTGCCTGCCAGCATCGGTCTGTGGCGGCGTAGAGGGTCGGAAGACGGCCAGCCACAGAGCTCTGTACGCGAAAAAGGCCCGAAATCGCGTCGCGGTCCGCCTGGCCAGGCAGGCCTGCCTGGCAGCCTTGGAAGTCGGGCGTGGCTGGCAGGCGAGGCAGGCGACCAACACTCTCGAACCAACACCGACTCGCTCCTCCGCACCACCTCGAGACGCCTGCCTCTGACCGCGCACTTCGCCACCGCAGCCAACAACGCTGTTCTGCCTTTCGTTTCCGCCGTAGCTCGATCAACGCACCACGGCTGCGACCGCACCTCGCCCACCATGCCCTTCACCATACCGCTGCGCACATCAGCCGCGGCCGCCTCCACCTCGACCGACCAAGCCAGCAGCGGCAGCGGCAGCGGCAGCGGCGGCGGTGACTACCAGCTCTTTGAGATCCCACCGGATCTCCTTGCGCACTTCACCTCTGCTGGCGCCTCGTCTGCATCGGTGCCGACGCAGCTCACCATCAAGGGGCAGCCCAACGACTCGGCGGTTCTCACAACCGCCACGTCGACCTACGCCCTCCGCAGCGTCTCCCAGAGCAACTCGCTCCTCGTCTGTTCCCTTGCGCCCTCCGCCTCGTCGCCACAGGATGCCACGTCAGGCAAGACCATGGAGCTGCAACTGCAGACCACCATCTCGGATACGCTCGAGTGTCAGCTATCCGTGCCGCACCTTGGCCGCATCACCTCGCTGCTCCGCCCCACGCGCTACAGGGGTCGATCCGACGCCCAACCGAGCACCGGCGCACGGCTCTACCGCAGGCACGAGATCTTCGACCTGGTCCAGGCGAGCGACGCCGAGATTGTACGGGGGCTCGACGAGCAGCGCGTCGTCGAGCTCGACGGCGTCATGAGGCAGCTCGACGACGACTTCACCCTCGACCTCCTCAAGGCCGTCCTGGCGCAGGTCGAGGTCAATGCGTACCTCCTCGAACAGGTACCGCTCCACGAGCTCGTAGATGGTCTCGACAAGGAGTTTGATATCGAACCCAGCGTCACGAGGCAGGCTTGCTCCCGTCTTTTCGGAAAAGTCCGCGAGGGACAGGGGCGGGGGCCCGAGGCGAAGGAGGAGGACGAGGTGGTGGAGCTGGATGCGATGGCCATTACGAGGTTCATCGGGATACAGCAGCTCAAGACGGCAAGGGTGAGTAGCGCAGATGCAGCTCGGACCCATCCGTCCCTTTGCACGAGCCGCCCTGACATCGTCCCTGTCCCACCTCGTTCCCACGATGCAGATGCCAATACCGCTCTCGACCTTCTTCCACTCCTGGCAGGCCGCGAGCGGATCGACGCTATCGCCGCACGTCTCGCTACCCCTCCTCCGGGGCGAGTACATCCTGCACCCGGCAGCGCAGCCCTACACCTCGACGACCTCGACAACGAGCGCACCGGCATTCAGCATCCAGCGCTTCTCGATCGCCGACCTTCCCACCGCGCCGGCCGCACGCTTCCAGGACCTGTTCAACACGCGGCCGTCCTGGACCGCCGAGGACCTCGATCCGTTCATCGAGGACCTCGTCCAGGGCGAGGGGCTGCAGCAGCAGAGAAAGAAAAAGGACGCGCTCCTCCTCAAATTCTGCCGCGCCAGCAAGGTCAAGATCGTCGACTGGAGCGGCGAGCTCGCCAGGTTCTTTGGCCACGTCGACGAGGACGATGAGGCGCGACAGGGTGGTGTCGGGGACGAGGCGATGGCCGAGGCGGATAGACGGAGAGTCAAGAGCAGGACCAGGAAGGACACAAAGCTCAAGGACGTCACGCTCTACACGGCCCGCGTCAAGTTCTAACCCGGCCAGGCGGGCGGGCGGGCGAGCGCGAGGGCCAACGAGGGATGCACAGGGCCGACGTCGACGATGGAGCGAAATGAGAATGAGCGGCACATCGACGAACCTATGCTACAATTTGCTGTGCTCAGCTTTGCAACAGCAAGAGGGGCCGAGGGGGGAGCGGAGCGGGGTCAGACGAAGCCGTAGGCGCGTTTTCCGCCTCCCTCACGCATCGAAACGGACCTCCGCACCCGCCTCCGTCTCGTCCTACTCGATCCTGCTTCTGCCTCGCCCTCGCCCTCGCCCTCGTCCTCGTCCTCGGCCGCCGAGTGAAGGGCACGTCGAGACGACGCAGCAAGACCTTCACTCTGGTACCCTCCCTCTCCGAGCGCGGGTGCGCGCGGTCGGCGACGACGCCCCAGCGAGACGGCCGAACGCGCCACCTCGTCGTCGGATCTCGACACCGTCGGCGCCGGCGTTGCTGTTGATCCCTTTTTGCCTCTTGCTCTCCGATCTCCATCGTCGTCGGTGGTGGCGTCGGTATCGAGGTCGAGCGAGTCTTTTGCGCGACGGACCTGGCAGCGTTTGCGACGGCCGTCGTGGCGCCGTGCCTGTCCGAGTGGCGTGGGCGTTACGAGGTACTCTTCCTGCTCTTCGTCATCGTCGTCGTCGCCGGCGCCTCGTCGTGGGGCGAAATGGTGGGATGGAGAGGTCGACCGAGAGGGCGATGCGCGTCCAACCCGTCTCGACGTGTCCGTCTCCGCCTCCGCCGCCCTCCTTCTCCTCCTGCTCCTCCTGCTCCTCCTCGTCTCCGCCGCAACGCGGTCTGAAAGCGAGACCTCGTCCCGTTCCGACCCGCCCGCGTCGGCATCGGGTTCGAGTCGCATCCTCTGCTTTGCCTTCTTCCTCGCATCCCGGCTCGCAAGTCGGTACGGCGGCAACCCACCCGCCTCCGACTCGGCGGCGGTACCCTCGCTCGTCCAACCCGCCCCCGCCCCCGCTCCCGCCGCGTCGATCCGCCGACTCTCCTCCAACCACCTCTGACTGCCGAGGTAGAGGCTCTTTTTCTCTGCCCTCCGTTTGGCCTTCAACTTGGCTTCCAGCTCGGCCGCACGGAACTTGGCGAGCACGCCCGGCGATCGCTCCTCGATGGCCATGAGGGCGGCGGTCGATGACGACGGTGGGATCTCGAGGTGCTGCGGCCGTTCTGCCGGGACGCTGTTGCTGTTGGTGTAGAGCGACGACGACGAGCAGGACGAGATCGTCGAGTGCGTCCGGGGCGCATTGACGATGTAGAAGTCGGTCGAGTGCAGCCGGTGGTGCGACCCGGCGCGCGCCAGCGGTCGCGATTCGGTATCGCCGGACGACGTCGTCCCGCTGCTCACGCCGCCGGCGGCCGTGTCGGAAGTCGTGGGCGCGACGAGGGTGACGGCGGAAGTCGAATGTTGCTGCGCCATGGCGACGGGGCCGGTCTGGCCTCCGAGGAAGGCGGGCGGAGGCGGAGGAGGCATACCAGGTCGAAAGGGCACCGCGGCCGGCAAGTCTGCCCTTGTCGTCGTCGTCGTCGCCGCCGGCGCCGCTGCTGCCGTCGCTGGACCGGCCTCGTCAACGACCGCCTTCTCAGGATCCCACTCGCCGCGATCTCCACGTCGATCCTGGTACTTTTTCCACAGCCCCCCGACCTTTTTCGTCGCGGCGGCCACGACGGTCTCGGTCGAAGCGTTGGCCGGCGTCGACGTCGGTGGCGGTGGTCCACTGGCGCCTGGTGAGACGGCGGGGAGGGGCAGGAGGATGTCTTTGATCTTTTCGGCCTTGGCCTTGGCTTCGGCGAGCTTTTCGAGCTTCTCGGCCACGGGCTGCTTGAAACCGAGCGGGGAGCGGAGCAGCTTGCCGCGCGAGTGAAATGCGATCCCCTGCAAACGTAGCACGCGAGCCGGATGGGGCAGAGAGGAGAGCGGGAGAGGAAGTGTCAACGACCGAGTCCGACTCGTCAGGTCGGCTGCGGCGTCGATCGGGAAGCCGCCGGCGCACGCACCGAGAGGATATTGACGAGCCCGACCGAGACGAGGAGCCAATTCGCGATGAGTGCGAAGGTGCCAATCTTGCGACTGAGGCTATCGGCGCCGAGGAGGATCAGGAGGGCGCCCATCATCTGGGTGCCCCACTCCCTGCCGAGAAAGGGGAGGACGGCATCAAAGAAGCGGTCCAGCCAGCCTCCCCACGACACCTCGCTGAGTATGACGAGGAAGAGGGCGACGAGGTTGTACACGTGGTGCAGCGTCGACCACAGCGTGCCCCACGTCTGCGTCGGGATGTCGGTGTGGCTCTGGTAATCTCCCGGCTGTTCGGAGGGGAATGAGGCGACCGAGGAGGTGCTGCGGCTGCCTGCGGCGGCGGCATCGTCATCGAGGTGCTGGAAGTTGTGCTTGAGGATCAGGATGGTCGATGCCATGACGAGGATGCAGGATACGAGGGTGAGGATGCGGAGCAGGTTGAGAAAGAGCCATTTCTGCAGAAAGGGCGGGATCGCCATCGTGCGCGGCGGGATCGAGTGGCGGTGGGTAGTCTCGGCCGTCGTATGTGCCGACTTGGACGAGCAGAGACCGGCTGGTATGGCGGTGTAGCAGCCTCGAGATCGAAGTGGAAGCAACGAGGGTCAAGTCGTGTCGAGGACAAGGATGGGGTGGACAGGGCCGCTTCGAATACCAGCATCGAAGGCGGAAAGAAGGGGAAAGGTGGATGTATAAGTAGCAGACGTTGAGCTCGAGGTGCAAGGCATCCTTTGGACCCAGTATGACGGTGCTACGATGCGGCGGCCCACATCTAGTCGCGAGCGTCGAAGGGGGGAGCTAACAAAGGGGAACGAACGGCCAGATTCGATTGAGCAGGCTAGGCTCGTATCGAGCAGCAGCATGGACCGTCCGGGGCGTAGTTGGCGCGCGCATGCCTAGAATGCATCCTAGCCTAGCCTGCTCTGACCCGGCCAGCCTGGATCCAGCACAAAGGGGACGAAACGAACGGAGCCGGATAGGCTGATGATGAAGGACGTGAGGCCAGACGAGACGAGATGAAGTGAGGGGACAAAGGGGATCGGACGCCGTGAGCCTGGCCCTGGCCGCTCGACCTTGGAGAAGGGCGCAGAGTCTGACAGCCTATTTTGCACGCGCCAGAGTGCTCAAATTCCGAAAGCCGAGCGTCTCCCCGGACACCTCACGCTCGAGGAGCATGGCCAGACGAGACGCACGACGTGACATTGAACTCGAGGCATGGATGGATGAAGGAGGGCGGGGAGGAGGGTACAAGTACATTTGAGCTGCTACGCCATGCCATCTGCCAGGGCGCAGGCGAGCTCGTGAGTTCTTCAGCCCGTCAGCTCGGGGGGTCGGAAGCTCGTGAAGGCGGAAACGAGGGGCGGGGGGAACTCGATCAGGTCTTCATCTGTGCCAGGATTTCCTGGTAGGGCTGTACGAGGCCGGTGAGGAGGCGCGGTTTGGCGAGCACCTGGAGCACGGTTCCGAGCAGCTGCCTCTTGTCGTGTCCCAGAATCGTCGGTTCCCACTCGTCGTCCAGACCGGGTTTGCTATACCGTCGGACGACCGCGCGAGCGGGGGTGGAGGGAGAGGGAGAGGTGCATGACGGTCAGTACCCAAAGGAACTAGGCGCGGGCAAGGCCGCACCGGAGAGACTCACTGGTAGATGGGCCCGATGAGGCTCTTGATCAGGTCCTCGCTCTGGTTGCGGATCTCTTCCTCGCCCAGCCACCGCGCGTAGGCCATCAGGTGCAGCTTGTACTCGCTGGCGCTGCCGAAAATCACGGCCGCCAGCATGCGCGTCTCGAGGTGGCGCAGCGTCACGGCCAGCTTGAAGTCGTCTTCCCGCTCGCTCGGCACCTGCATCCGGGCCGGTCGCTGCGCGTCGGCGTTGCCGTCGTCGCCGCTGCCGCCGCTGCCGCCGCTACCGGCCCGCTCGCCGCCGTCCGCATCACCTTGGTTACCGTCTCCGCCCTCCCTGTCGGCGGCAGAAGCTGCAGGGGCGGCGACGGGCGACTCGCGCTGGCTGCGCGCCACCACCAGGTTGTTGATCTCGGCCTCGATGGCCTTGACCGGGTCGCGCGCGATGGCATTGTCCGTCCCGCGGCCGCGCGTCTTGCCGTCCCAGGCCATCGAGTGGTCGGCGAACCAGCCATCGCCCACGCACACCCAGCCGAGCTTGCGGTCGTCGAACGTGTAGACCTTTTCCGTGCGCAGCAGGATGATGGGCGCGCCGTTGGCGTGGATCGACGCCGAGACCAGGTTGGCCGGATCGCCCAGCACGTGGAGCACCGAGACAGGCCGGTGGATCTCGCGGTCGGCCCGGATGTCCCAGCGGTGCATCAGCCCGCTCACCGTGATGGCCATCAGCACGTTGCCGTTGCTCTCCAGGCGGAAGCAGGGCGAGTCGAGGAAGAGGTTGCCCGTCCGCCGCCCCTTTGGCGAGTAGATCAGGACGCTGCTGTCCTCGAGCGCCACGGCGGAAAAGTGGGGCGTCGCCGTGGCCAGGATGCCCGGCGACGGCGAAAAGTCGAGCCAGACGACCGAGTCGCTCTCGCTGCCGTCGAGGAGCGCAATCTCGCTCGGCCGGCTGGCGTCAAAGTTGCGGATCTCGACGGTGCCGTGCTCCTCGTCGCGCCGGTAGACGTTGAGCAGCTCGGGCACCGCCAGGCGGACTCCTCGGTGCACGCCGTCCTCGACGATGCCCACCGACCCCTCGATGCGCCGCCGCAGTGCCACCGTGCGTCCCACCGGCTCCCTCGGCGTCTCGCCACCGAGCGTCCTGCCGATCTCGGCCTTGGTCCGGCTCCGCGGGATCTTGCTGAGCGGCTCAATGTCCTCGTCGCCGAACGCGGCCTTTCGCTTCTCGCCGCGCGTCTCGGTCGACGGCGGGGCAGTGGCGTCTGCGTCGACTTCGATTGCGCCCTCCTGCGGCCGTTGCGGCTGCTGTTGCTGCTCTTGCGCGCGCGCCTGGGCCTGCTGCTGCGCTTCGAGGAGCTGCTGGAACTGCTGCGCCTGCTGCTGCTGGAGCTGCTGCTGCGTCTGCACAAACATCGACATCATCCTGGTCATGGCCTCTTCCACCCCCGGCCCCGGCGAGCCTCCTCGCGGCATCATCATGCGCGACGACGACGAGGGTCGGCGCGCAAGCTCCGAGCCGCCCTGGGATGGCCCAGCCGCTGCCGAGGCGGCGTGACCATTGACGTGGCCGTACGCAGGTTGGATGGCCGTGTCGGTGGCGAAGCCGTCGCTGCTGATCTGCGTTGGCTTGATGCGCCTCTTGCCGTCCCGGGTGATGGTGATCTCCTGCTTGAGGCGCTCGGTGCGGCTGGCTGCCGGTCGGACGGCGGGCGAAGGCGAAGGGACGGCGCGCCCGGCCTTGCGCACCTGAAGCACATTGGGTCGCTCGAGCGTGCCGACGGACTGGTTGGAGATGTGCGAGGGCAGCGCGGCCCGGGCCCGCTTGTACCCATGCTTGGCCCGCGACGCCTGCAGCCGCTCCTCGCTGAGCGCCTCGGACAGGATCTCGGGCGTCAGCGTGATGACTGCCACGGTGCCGTCCGACGACGACGCGTACAGGGTGTAGCCGTCCGATGACCTGAGAAGCAAGCGGGGAAAGGGGGAGGCTGTCAGCTCGCTCGCGTTTCGCCGCCCGGCGAGTCCTACTCGGCCACCGCGCACTCACCAGGAGAGGTCCATGACGTGCCGGTTGAAGAGATCCCTGGCCACGAGCACGGGGTGGTCGAGGCCGGTGACCCAGATCGACACGCTCTGGTCCATGGAGCCGAGCGCGACGACGCACGAGTGGCTGCCGCCGTCGAAGCCGGCAAAGATCTTTGGGCTGAAGGCGGTGACAATGACCGAGTTCTCGTGGCCGACAAACGAGACGTCGCTGTTCCAGTCGACGCGCTTGACGACGCTCGAGACAAAGACGGGCCCGCTCATGGCGTTGGCGCAGGTGAGGAAGCTGCCGTCGGGCGACCAGCTGGGCCTGCGGAAAAAGGTCGAGGATGGGCTGGTGGTAAAGGGGGCCGAGATGTCGGCGGCGAGGCTCCAGTCCTCGGTCTTCCACACCTTGACCGTCTTGTCGTCTGAGGCGGTGGCGAGGTACTGGCCGAGCGGGTCAAAGGCGACGCCCTTGACAAAGCCCTGGTGTCCGTCGATCTTGCGCAGGCGCTCGAAGGTGGTGCCGGACCAGACGAAAGCGAGCGAGTCTAGGCCGACGGTGGCGATGAACTCGTCGTCGGTGGACCAGGCAATGTCGGCGACGTCGGACTCGTGGCCGACGAGCCTGCGGTGGGGCCTCCAGGACTCGATGTTGACCTCGGTGGAGCCAAAGCTGCCGCCGATGCCCATGCCGGTGGTGTCAATGTCCCATATGAGGGCGATGGTGTCGTCGGAGCCCGAGGCGAGGAAGCGGCCCGAGTTGGACCAGCGGACGACGAGGACGCTGCCGGTGTGTCGGTCGAGGGTGGAGAGGAGCTTGTGGGTGCCCGGCTGGGCGTACTCGTCGGCCGAGAGGATGGGAGCGGTGGCCCAGATGCGGATCTTGGAGTCGATGCCGGCGGTTGCGACGCGGCTGCCGTCTGGGTGAACGGAGACGCTAAAGATGGTGCCGCGCTTAACCTTTTTGTCGTCTCCGTAGTGGGCGACCCAGTCGGGCAGGACGATGGACATGGCGGGCGGACGGAGGGGTGGAGGATCCGGTAGCGGGTGGCTACGATGGCGGCGTGCCGAGGGGCGGTGGACAGAAGTCAGTCGACGGGGTCTTTGATGTGGGTGAGGGTGGTCGGCCCTGGGCGTGGAGCCGAGAAAGCCAGGACGATGCCGATGGGCTTGCGTTGGGACAGAGGCCGTGCGTCGGTCGGGACTGGGAATCACGAGGAGCGAGGGTCGTCGGGTGGCGGTTTCGATGCCGATCTCGTCCGCATCGAGCGGTTGAGAAGCGGGCGAGGGTGGAACCAAGGAGCGGCGGGGTGGATGGAGGGTAGCGGGGTGAGGGAGAGACAGAGAGAGAGAGAGAGAGAGAGAGAGAGAGAGAGAGAGAGAGTAGGTCGGACCGACCGACGGACGACGACGACGTCGTCCTTCCTCCCTCCCGTCCCGGTCCCGGTTCCGGTTCCGGTTCCGTTTCCCGTACGGACGGACGAACGA